ACAGGCTGAGTATAGTGGAAATTTTGGTCCTGGCTATGTGGCCTGCACAGGGGACATATGGAGGAGGAGGGTAGGGAAAGGGAGGGCTCTCTGAGGACACTCCTGCCCTCACGCCTGCCTTTCAGTTCTTCCTCTCTTCTGTGAAGGACACTCCCCCAGCTGCTGGGATGAAGACCACCATCTCCCATAATCAGAGGCCAGCCAGGCCTACCTGCCAGGAGAGAAGGGGCAGGATGCCCGCCAGCTTGGTGCCCCCTCAGGATGACTGTCCATACCTCTGAGGGGAAGGTGTCCGTAAAACTCGTGACTCCAGACACTTTCTGCACTTTGGGAAACAATGGGTGTTAGCGATGCTGGAGGAGTTCATTGCTCACGACTCTCCACAAAGCTCAGCACTGGCAGCCGCAGCACAGACAAGAAAGGGGGTGAACCAGCAGAGTCCATGGACTGGCTGTGGGGGAGAGAAAGTTACGCTGGAGAATACACGAAGTGAGCACATCACTTTAGGACATTAAGCCAGATGTGAAAGTCTTACCTACAGATGCTACAAGTGCAAACACTTCTAGCATCACATCACAGAATTCTCTGACCCTCATCAAGGAGCCCCCTTCCTGATAGAAGGCAATCATCACGTCCTCAAAGTTCATATCCTGTCGTAACGGGGACACTTCAGTTCTTGATCAGCTTCTCTCCTAGGATTTTATTTGTGTCATACTCCCCACCCTCCACATCCAGTGGCTCCCTCTACTCCCCACATCAGAAAAGACACCAGGATTTGGTCTCATCAAAGTCACTTTCTTCTTTTATTTCACCCTTTAACCCCACCCCAGAGTGCTAAGGCCACCACTTTGCAGTACCTGCTCCACATAATTCTTTGAAACACACTTCTCTTATACGGCTTCATTCTCAGAGGCACAACTTCAGAGATAACACAAATCTGCTATTGTGAGGACCGGTTGTTTCCTAATCACCTTCTCCAAAATTATAGTTTACCACCTCCATAATCTATTTCTGTCTTACCCTTCTCCCTTTCCCACGCAAGTGGAGATTTGCAAGCCTGAGTGACACTGATGTATGCTACCTCGTTCCTATGGATCACTCTAACAGCCCTAAACAACAGGCAGGTGGGTAGATAAATGGCATCTATGCTCTGGACCTGGCATGTAGCACCACCTACTTACTCCATACAGAAGAATAAACTCACAAATGGATAAAAGACTTAAATGTAAGACAGGAAACCATAAAAATCTTAGAATCTTAGAAGAATCCATAGTCAGCAAAATCTCAGACAATTCTTGTAGCAATATGTTTACAGATACATCTCCTAGGACAGTGGTCAGCAAACTCATTAGCCAACAGAGCCAAATATCAACAGTACTTCTTCAAAATAGACTCACCCAGGCCGAAAACCGACTTCTGTGCATGGGCCATGAAGTTTCAATCACACTGTACGTGCGCACCCGCACGTGGTACTTGTGGAAGAGCCACACTAAAGGGGCCAAAGAGCCACATGTGGCTCACGAGCTGCAGCTTGCCGACCACTGTCTTAGGACAATGGAAACTAAGGAGAAAATAAACAAATGGGACTACATCAAAATAAAAACCTTCTGTACAGCAAAAGAAACCATCAACAAAACAACAAGAAAACCCACTGCCTGGGAGAACATATTTGCTAATGTTACATCCAATAAGGATTTAATCTACAAAATATAGGGAACTCATACAACTTAACAAAAGGAAGATAAACAATACAGTCAAAAATGGGCAAAGAACCTAAATAGATACTTTTTGAAAAAGAACAAACAGAAGAGGCCAAGAGACATATGAAAACATGCTCAAAGTCACTAATCATCCGAGAGATGCAAATCAAAATGACAATAAGGTATCATTTCACACCTGTCAGAATGGCTATCATCAACAAATCAACAAAGGACAAGTGCTGGCGAGGATGTGGAGAAAAAGGAACCCTCATGCACTGCTGGTGGGAATGAAGACTTGCGCAGCCACTGTGGAAAACAGTATGGAGTTTCCTCTAAGAATTAAAAATGGAAATTGCATTTGACCCAGTAATCCCACTTCTAGGAATATATCCCAAAAAATCAGAAGCATCAATGAGAAAGAATACAGTAGGTCCTTGGGTTACGTCGGAGATCTGTTCCTATGGTGCGACGTAACGAGACCTTCGCCATAAGTTGAAACCCACCTACATAAGCAACTACGTCATTCACATGGAGGTCATACACAGCAGTAATTAAGTGAAACAGTAAAAAAAAAAATTTAAAAGAAAGATAACAATTCCTGACCTTTACTTGTGGTAAATAAATAATAAAAAACATAAAGCACATATGTACATATGTCGAAATGAAGGAACTTTTTGTTTTATAAATAAACTAGAGGCCTGGTGCACAAAAATCTGTGCACTGGGGGGGGGGTCCCCTCAGCCTGGACTGTGCCCTCTCGCAGTCTAGAACCCCTTGGGGGATGATGACCACCTGCTGGCTTAGGCTCGCTCCCCGGGGGGGGGGGGGGTATTGGGCCTAAGCTGGCAGTCAGACATCCCTCTGGCAGCCCGGAGCACTTGGGGGATGTCCACTTGCCAGCGGGGAGCAGGCCTAAGCTGCAGTCAGACATCCTTAGTGCTGCTGAGGAGGTGGGAGAGGCTCCCACCACCACCACTGTACTGGCAGCTGTCAGTCTGGCTTGTGGCTGAGCAGAGCTCCCCCTGTGAGAGTGCACTGACCACCAAGGGGCAGCTCCTGCATTGAGCGTCTGCTCCCTGGTGGTCAGTGTGTGTCATAGTGACCAGTCATTCCCAGTTGTTCTGCTGTTAGGGTCAATTCGCATATTACCCTTTCATTATTTAGGATAGAGGCCTGGTGCATGGTGGGGGAGAGCTGGTTTGCCGTGAAGGTTGTCCTGGATCAGGGTGGGGGTCCCACTGGGGTGCCTGGCCAGCCTGGGAGAGGGGCTGAGGGCCCTTTTCAGACTGGCCACACCCTCTTCAGGGTGGAGGTCCCCATTGGGGTACCTGACCAGCTTAAGTGAGGGGCTCATGGCTGTTTGCAGGCTGGCCAAGCCCCCCAGCGGGGACCCTCATCCCATGAGGGTGTGGCCAGCCTGGGTGATGGGCTCATGGCTGTTTGCAGACTGGCCACGGCCCCCAGCCACCCAAGCTCCCAGTGGAGGCTGGCTGAAGCAGGTATCTGGGATTTATTTACCTTCTATAATTGAAAATTTGTTAACTTGAATTGAGCTCGGAGCCAGCCAGGGCAGGTGGGAAGCTTAGCTTCCTCCATCACCAGGGCAACCAAGCCTCCTGCTTGCTCCAGCTCCCTGGCTGCTGGCTGCCATCTTGGTTTGGTTAATTTGCATATAGTCACTCTGATTGACTGGTGGGCGTGGCTTAGGGTGTAGTGAAGGTGCAGTCAATTAGCATGTTTCTCTTTTATTAGATTAGATGGGAGATGGTGATGTAACCACGAAACGACATATGTCAGACTCCACTTAACCCAAAGACTGCCTGTATATGCACCCCCATGTTCACAGCAGCACAATGTACAATAGCTAAGATTTGGAAACGGCCTAAGTGCCCATCAGCAGATGAGTGGATTAAAAAACTGTGGTACATCTACACAATGGAACACTACGCTGCTATAAAAAAGAACTCTTACCATTTGCAACAGCACCGATGGACCTAAACTAAATAAGCCAATCAGAGAAAGATAAATATCACATGATCTCACTCATTTGTAGAATATAAGGAACAACATAAACAGATGGAACAAAAATAAATCCAGAGACATGGAAGCATTGAACTGTCAACCTCAGACGTAAGACAAGGGAGAGGAGGAGGGGTAAGTAAGATGTCAACCAAAGTACTTGTATAGAGGCATATAAGCATAACCAATAGGCAGACAGTAGGGGGGGTGACGCCTATGCTGCATGGCTCGGTGGAGGACCCATGAACCAAGAGATGGCTGGTTAGATTTCCGGTCAGAGCACATGCCCAGGTTGGGGACTAGATCCCAGTAGGGGGCATGCAGGAGGCAGCTAATCAATGATTCTCTCTCACCATTGATGTTTCTCACTCTCTCCCCTCTCTCTCCAAAAAATCAATGAAAACATTTAAAATAAAAGAATAGTGTTAAGATTGAATGGACTCAACACCAAAGTGAGTGTGGGCCCTCACATTTCCTCCCAACCCTTGTCAGTGAAACCATGCCTTGGTCTGTCTTTATACAAGATGTCCCAGGCATAACTGATTTCGCAAACAGGAAGCAGACTGGAGGGGTTCTGCCTCAGGTCGGCCTGTAGTATTTGAGTTCTTGACGTCATGCAGAAACATTTTCACAACACGAGTTCAGAACGTTTTGAAAGTATGTTTATTGAAGCTGCAGATTTTAAAACAATGTGGCCCTAGCCAGTTTGGCTCATGGATAGAGTGTCAGCCTGAGGACTGAAGGGTCCTGGGTTCATTTTCCATCAGTGGCACATTGAACATAATAAATGGCCCCAGCTGGTTTGGCTCAGTGGATAGAGCGTTGGCCTGTGAACTGAAAGGTCCCAGGTTTGATTCCGGTCTAGGGCACATGCCTGGGTTGTGGGCTCAGTCCCCAGTGGGGGACTTGCAGGAGGCAGCGGATCCATGATTCTCTCTCATCATCGATGTTTCTATCGCTCTCTCCCTCTTCCTTCCTCTCTGAAATCAATAAAAAAATATTAAAAAAAAATAATAAATGAGCCCTAGCTGGTTTGGCTCAATGGATAGAGCACCAGCCTGCAGACCGAAGGGTCTCAGGTTCAATTCCGGCCAAGGGCACATGCCTGGGTTGCAGGCTTGATCCCCGGTAAGGGGTATTCTGGAGGCAGCCAATCAATGATTCTCTCTCATCACTGATGTTTCTCTCTCTCGCTCCCTCTTCCTTCCTCTCTGAAATCAATAAAATATATTTTAAAAAAACCCAAAAATAATAAATAAATCCTATATAATAAAAGCCTAATATGCAAGTCAACTAAAAGGCAGCATGACCAGTTGCTAAGACGTGCACTGACCACCAGGGGGCAGACACTCAATGCATGAGCTGCCCTCAGCCTGCAGGCCCCAGGCCAGCCTAGGTGGGTGCAGTTGAGGGGGACAGCGATTAATCGCCCAACAGATTGGCCCTGATCACCAGCCAGGCCTAGGGACCCTACCTGTGTATGAATTTCATGCACCAGTCCTCTAATAAATAAGTAAAAGAAGGATGTGGACAGAGGATGGGGTCACAGGTAGGGTTTATGTCCTGGGGTTGGGCCTAGTTGTAGTCCTACCTTGGGCGGGGCCAGCACAGCCGTGGGTGAGCCTGAGGGGTTGGAGGGCGGGGAGGGGGGGGGGCAGTGAAGGGTTAAAGAAGATAGGCAGCACCACAGCCTGCAAACCGAGTCTTTATTTGATAGCCAGATTCCACGAGGCAAAGTAAGGGTGTGGCCAAGATGTTTACAATGTTCTCCTGGGTTTTGAATCTACTCAATTACATGCACCTGCTCAAGCTTTGTTTCCTTGCTGCACCTCCCGCAGCCCATATCCCTAGCCACCTGGGAGCCGCCTTCCACACCACCTCAGGCCATCTCTGGATTTTAAGGAATAAACAATACCCTTTTATTTATTCAACAACTTTATTGGTCATTGGAAACGTGTCAGCCACTTTCTCGGGCACATTCCGGGGGGGGGGGGGGGGGGGGCCTCATCCCCCGTGGAGGGCCATGCAGGAGGCAGGTGATCAATGACTCTTTCTCGTCATTGACGTTTCTCTCTCTCCCTCTCCCTTCCTCCCTGAAATCAATAAAAATATTAAATAAAATAAAATAAATCTATCTACACACACACATTACAGGGAGAAAGCTCCGCGCATGGAATGCCTGGATGTGGAGGCCCGGGGCATGGAGGCCAGGGGTGTGGAGTCCCTGGATGTGGAGGCCAGGGGTGTGGAGTCCCTGGATGTGGAGGCCGGGGCCGTGGAGTCCCTGGATGTGGAGGCCCGGGGTGTGGAGTCCCCAGATTCCGAGGCCTTCCTCTGGTGCATCCGCAGGTGGCGGTGGTAGGTGGAGGACTGGCGGTAGGTCCTCGCGCACTGGGCGCACGCGTAGGGCTTGGCGCCCGTGTGGATGCGCTCGTGCGCCCGCAGGTTGGTCGGGTGGCTGAAGGCGCGGTCGCAGCGGCCGCAGCGGAAGGGCCTCGCCTCCGCGTGGATGCGCTCGTGCACGCGCAGGTCCGAGGCCTGGAAGAAGCGTTTGGCGCACGTGGCGCACGCGAAGGGCCGCTCGTTGTCGTGCCTCCTCCGGTGCAGCTGGAACCGACAGAGGAACTCGAAGACCCGGGGGCACCGGTCGCACCGGTACCGCTTCCGGGCGCCCCCCGCCTCCCGGGGCGCCTCCTCTCGGGGGGGCTCTTCCTGGGCGGTGGGGGCGCCCGGACTTGCTGAACCGGAGCTGCGTGGACTCTCCCCCGACGCCGCGCGCTCTGCGGGGACCTGAGGGCTCTCTTCCGCCAGGAGGAGCGTAAAGGGGGGGTGGTCGTCTGGACTGGAAAGACTGTCGCCAGCGTCCTCTGCATCTTCATCTGTGAAATAAAGGGTGTCCGTGAGGCTGCGCCCAAGCCCTAGTGAGTGTGGCTCAGTGGATGGAGCGTCAGGCTGGGCACGCAAAGGTCCCGGGTTTGATTCCCCAGGACCCAGGTTGTGGGAGATTTTTTGGTCATCACAGATGTTTCTATCTTTCTCTCCTTCTCTCTTCCATTCTGAAATCTACAAAACTATTTTTTAAAAAAAAGAAAGAGGGAAGAAAGGAAGGAAGGAAGGAAGGAGAGGAAGGGAGGAAGGGAGGGAGGAAGGGAGGGAAGGGAGAAGAAGAAAGAGCCTCTTTAAAAGATTCCCTGACCGGTGTGGCTCAGTGGATAGAGCCTCAGTCTGCGGACTGAAGGGTCCCAGGTTCGATTCCGGTCAAGGGCATGTACCTGGGTTGCGGGCACATCCCCAGTAGGGGGTGTGCAGGAGGCACCTGATCGATGTTTCTCTCTCATCGATGTTTCTCTCTCATTGATGTTTCTAACTATCCCTCTCCCTTCCTCTCTGTAAAAAATCAATAAAATATATTTAAAAAAAAAAAAAAGAAAAAGAAAAACAGCCCTCGCTGGTTTGGCTCAGTGGATAGGGCATCGGCCTGCAGACTGAAGGGTCCCGGGTTCGATTCCGGTCAAGGGCATGCACCTTGGTTGCGGGCACATCCCCAGCGGGGGGCATGCAGGAGGCAGCTGATTGATGTTTCTAGCTCTCTATTCCTCTCCCTTCCTCTCTGTACACAATCAATAAAAATATATTTCAATCAATCAGTCAATCAATCAATCACAGAAACTGTACCCAAGACAGAGTCCACACAGAACAGCCCTCCGGACCCTGGGCCCCCCTCGCTCACCTGGTGCTGCTGGTCGGGGTGTCTCTGGGGACGTCGGGGAGGGTGTCCCCGGGGTGAGCGCCATGGGGGCTGCTGCTGAACGCTGCTCCTGGAGGATGGCCAGGACCTCTCCTAAGGGCATGTTCTCTGAGAACAGGGCTTCCCGCCCCTCCAGGCTGACATGTATCTGTGAACACAGCCTGGTCGCTGTCGGTGCCGCATCCCCACGGCCATGGAACCCTTGGTGGGAACCCTCCCCCTCCAGCTTTCCCACAATCCCTCGCTGTCCTGCCCTCGTGCCCACTGTCCTGCCCTATCTCTGGACCTTGCAATTCCTGGTTGGTGCCTTCCCTCAGGGAGAACAAGGATTCATATGAGGAAGCAGTTCTCCTTCGGTCACTCCTCATCCTGCAGGTTTCTGCTCAATCCTGAATGGCTTTTTTATTTTTACTTTTTTTAATCCTCACCCGAAGATATTATTCCATTGATTTGTAGAGAGACTGGAAGCTCAACCCAGCCTGGCTCAGTGGTTGCGCATCGACTTTTGAAACCAGTTCGAATCCCAGTCAGGGCACAGGCCCAGGTCGCAGGCTCCATCCCCAGCGTGGGGCGTGCAAGAGGCAGCTGATCAATGATGCTCTCTCATCACTGATGTTTCTCTCTCTCTCTCTCTCCCTCTCTCTCTCTCCCTCCCTCTCCCTCTCCCTTCCTCTCTGAAATTAATAAACATCCTATATAATAAAAGGCGAATATGCAAATTGACCAAATGGTGGAGAGACCAGTCACTATGATGTGCACTGACCACCAGGGGGCACTGCTCAGCCAGAAGCCAGGCTCAGGCCCCTGCAGCCGCTCTAAGGATGTCCATGGGGAGCAGGCCTAAGCTGGCAGTCGGGCATCCCCCGAGGGCTTCCGAACTGGGAGCGGGTGCAGGCTGGGCTGAGGGACCCTGCTTGAGTGCAGGAATTTCGTGCGCTGGGCCTCTAGTATCTATGTTTAAAAGCATCCCCTTGATGAAGAATAAGAACTGAACCGACAGTAGCTCCCTGTCTACTTCTGGGACCCCCAAGAGCACGTACGATTCCTTTCTCCGCTCCGTCCCTCACCCCAGGGGTCGGAACCGGCCACTCACCATGCTCGGGGGCCTCAGGACCTCACCCCGCAGGTGCTCCATGAACACGGCCATGTCCCTGCCGCTCGACTCCCACTTCTCCTGCCATGCGGCCCTCTCGCTGCTGGGCCTGTTGAGCAGGAACTGCTCCACTGACAGTTGGAAAATCATCTCCTGCTTACTCTGGGTGTCTGGCTGCAGCCACGAGCAGAAAGACCAAATGATGCCCTGAAGCTCCGCCACGCCATGCAGGTGGCTGCCGTGGTGCAATGAGATGGGCCCAGGGAGGAAGGCGACCTCCTCCACCTCCTCCCCCTCCTGGTTGACCGGTCCTCCGCGAAATCTGAGCCTGAAATTTCCTGCCCGGGGACCGTTCCTGGCGGGTTCGTCTTGAGATGCCATTCTGAGACACAAACAGAAAAGTTGAGAGCCAGATAAATCCACGCATGAGTTCTACCAGACACTGAAGACATAGAAAATTCTGATTTTACACAAACTCTCCTGGGGCGTGTACAAATTAAGTGGAGCCCTAGCTGGCTTGGATCAGTGGATAGAGTGTCAACCTGCGGACCAAAGGGTCCCAGGTTTGATTCTGGCCAAGGGCCACATACTTCGGTTGCAGACTCCTCCCTGGCCAGGCCCCTGGTCGGGGCTCAAGCAGGAGGCAACCAATCCATGTTTCTCTCACATGGATATTTCTCTCCGTCTTTCCCTCTCTCTTCCACTCTCCCAAGAAAATCACTGTAAAAATATCCTCAGATGAGGATTAGCAACAACGACAACAACAAAAAGTGGGGGGAAAATAAGACAAGGAAAAAACGGGGAAACATTCCCCCTTTGGTGAAGGAGTTAAGGGCAGTAGCTCCCTCAGAGCAAAACCTTACCAATACATTAAAGAAAGCAACTCTGCCCTAGCTGGTTTGGCTGAGTGGATAGAGCATTGGCCTTCGGACTGACGGGTCCAGGGTTCGATTCTGGTCAAGGGCACAGGCCCAGGGTGTGGGCTCAATCCCCAGTGTGGGACAGACATGCAGGAGCAGCCAATCAATGATTCTCATCATTGATGATTCTCTCTCTCTCTCTCCCTCTCCCTTCCTCTCTGAAAGAAAGAGGGGGGGGGGAAGGGAGGGAGGAAGAGGAAAGGAAAGGAAAGGAAAGGAAAGGAAAGGAAAGGAAAGGAAAGGAAAGGAAAGGAAAGGAAAGGAAAGGAAAGGAAAGGAAAGGAAAAGAAGGAAGGAAGGAGGAAGGAAGGAAGGAAGGAAGGAAGGAAGGAAGGAAGAAAGAAAGAAAGAAAGAAAGAAAGAAAGAAAGAAAGAAAGAAAGAAAGAAAGAAAGAAGGAAAGCCTGTCTGTCTACAGGCCAATATCTCAGGAATGTACGTGTGAAAATCCAAAGCAAATCAGAGGATATTTTTCCATTGACTTTCAGAGAGTGGAAAGGAGAGACACATCGACTGGTTGCCTCCTGCACACACCCTGACTAGGTACATGCAACCAAGGTACATGCCCTGGACCGGAATCGAACCCGGGATCCCTCGATCTGGAGGCCGACGCTCTATCCGCTGAGCCAAACCGGTTAGTGGATCCCTCTTGCTCTCTGAGAAAGGTCCCCAGTCCGTTCTGGTCCGGAGAGCCCTCCCCTGTCCCCCCTCCCTCCGACTCGGCCCCACCTGAGTTGTGGTGGCCGGTTCGTGCCTGTAGGCGCACGGGCACCTGTCTGCGTCTCTCCTGCAGGACCCGTGCCCTGTCCTCCTCAGCCTCCCCACAAGCCCTCCTTCCGGATGACCCCAGGCACACGCAGGCATCGTGGCCACACTTGCAGGCATGCGATCCCACACACACACAGCGGTGGAGCACTACCGTGGGGAAGACCTACGAATTTAAAACCAGGCCGCGTGCCCAGCTGGCGTGGCTCCGTGTCCACCTAGGAACCAGGAGGTCACAGTTCCATTTCCCGGTCAAGGCACACGCCCGGCTTATGGGCCCGATCCCCAGTAGGGGGCGTACAGGAGGCAACCGATCCATGAGTCTCTCTCCCTGATGTTTCTCTCCCTCTCTTCCTCTCTAAAATCAATACAAATATATTAAAAAGTAAAAATAAATAAATGAAAAGTCCTGCACAAGGAATTTTTCCTTATTTACCAAAGGAGCAGCTGTGTGATTTATTGAACTCCAGGTTCATAGGTCGGTGTTCAACCACTGAGCCACGCCGGAGAAGGCTGACAGTCACCCTTTATTTTATTTTATTAGTTTTTTAAAAATATTTTTATTGATTTCAGAGAGGAAGGAAGAGGGAGAGAGAGAAACATCAATGATGTTAGAGAGAATCATGGATCGGCTGCCTCATGCACGCCCCCCACTGGGGATCGAGCCCCCAACCCGGGCCTGTGTCCTTGACCAGAATCGAACCCTTCAGTCCTCAGGCCGACGCTCTATCCACTGAGCCAAACCAGCTAGGGCGACAGTCACCCTTTAAAGGTCAGCTCCTACCCTCACCCCAATCCTCAACCCAAAAGCCAGGGACCAACAGCTTCCCAACAGGCCATGAAGATGAATTCCTAGAAACATACAATGAACAGGACAACAGCCACACACACAGACTTGCCTGGATGGGGTCCCCTGCAGTCCAGCCAGCTCCTGCCCAGCTAGAGCCACAGCCAGCCCAGACCTTCCGGTGCCTGAGAGACCCCCTCTCTGTGTCCTGGGGACCCTGTCCTCACAGCCCAGCCCACATGCACATGCCTGCGAGCGCGCACACACACACACACACACACACACACACACACACACGGAAACGTTGCCTTCCCTTCCCCAGACTCACCTCCTCACGGACACAGACGTTCACGCTGGGTGACCCTGGCCCAACGCTGAGCTGCTGTGGGGCTTGGCTGTCAGCGCTGGTGCCTCTGATGTGCTTCCCAAGGCTCCTGCCTTTTATCGGCCCTCGGTCCGAGATGAGATTAAAACCTGTGATTGGATAAACTCAGCCTGTGACGGGTTGTCAGGTGGCACCTAGGCCTCCAGGCTCCAGCTCTAACACCGGGTCTACACCCCCCTGGGCAGGAGCCAGGGGCCAGGGCATGGGCCCTGACTGGGTTTCGAACCCTGAGCTCCTGCCTCAGCCACTGAGCCAGGCAGGCCCGGCTCCTACTCACTTCCTAATCTTCCCAGGTTTGCGAATCGCTTGTGCAGAACAGGCACATTCTTCTCTCCTCCTGTGTCCTCTCCCATCAGATTTTTTCCAGAATTAAGCACCTCCCCCTCCTCCCCTCCCTCCCCACCTGGATTATGGAGCTCAGCTCCTACCTGCCTCCAGTCTGTTCCCCGAGCAGCCACAAGGGACCTGGCAGCCCGGGCTGCCCTCCCTCCTCTGCTAGGAGCTGCCCCAGGCCTTGCAGACACTCGGATGGATGGAGGGGGGTCTCTGCTTGGGGGGGGGGGGTGGCTCCCACAGGAAGTGGCCAGCGGCCAGGAAGTGGAATAGAGAGTGGACGAGGATTGGGTAGAAAAAAAAATAGTCCCTCCGGGTCGTGGAGGGAGGGAAGGCGGGCGATAATCCTGTCTGATGAGCCAGGCCCAGAGGCTGTGGTCCTAACTGGCTTTCCGAGGGCGGAAGGGCCTAGATCTGGGGCAGCCCGCCATGGGGTTCCAACCCCAAAGCGTCCCTGGCGGAACCCCACCCTTCCCGGGGGGCTGTGCTGAGGCGGAGGGAGCCCAGGGGGTTCTAAGGCTGCAGAGAGAGACACGCATTCCCCGCCCCCAGCCCCGTGCCCCCCCCCCCCCCGGAGGCCCTGGGTTTGGGGGGGCTTCGGGGAGGCCATGGGCCCAGAGGGAGAAGCCGTGCAGGTCCCCCAGGTGCAGGTCCCTGAGCTGTAGAACCTGCATGCAGGTCTGGCTGCCTCCTGCACGGGCCGCCCACCACCCCCAGGGCCTGGGTTTGGGGGGGGAGTGGGGGACCTCGGGGAGGCCATGGACCCAGAGGGAGAAGCCGTGCAGGTCCCCCAGGTGCAGGTCCCTGAGCTGTAGAACCTGCATCCGGGTCTGGCTGCCTCCTGCACGGGCCGCCCGCCACCCCCAGGGCCTGGGTTGGAGCCTGCAAACCAAGTGACCTGCCTGTGACCAGAATGGACCCCAGGACCCTTCAGTCCGCGGCCCGTGTTCTCTCCACCCAGCCGAACCTCAAGGGTTGACAGTCACGTCTTGTTTTTTTGTTGTTGTTGTTGTTTTTCATGGTTATTGATAGCAGAGAGGAAGGGAGAGGGAGAGAGAGAGAAACATCGATGAGGGGGGAGGAGAGAATCATCCACCAGCTGCCTCCTGCAGGCCCCCCCACACTGGGGATAGAGCCCACAGGCCAGGCCTGTGCCCTGACGGGGAGTCTAACCCTGACCTCCTGGTTCACAGGTCGATGTTCAACCACGGAGCCACGCCGGCCGGGCTGACAGTCACACCTTCAATGTCAGCTCCTACCCTCACCCCAATCCTCAACCTGAAAGCCAGGGACCAACAGCTTCCCAACATGCCATGAAAATGAGTTCCTAGAAACATACAATGAACAGGACAACAGCCACACACAGAGAATTGCCCGGATGGGGTCCCCTGCAGTCCCGCCAGCTCCTGCCCATCTAGAGCCATAGCCAGCCCAGACCTTCTGGTGCCTGAGAGACCCCCTCTCTGTGTCCCTGGGGACCCTGTCCTCACAGCCCAGCCCACATGCACATGCCTGTGCGCGCACACTCACACACACACGCACACACACACACACACACACACACGGGAACGTTGCCTTCCCTTCCGGAGACTCACCCCCTCTCGGACACAGACGTTCACGCTGGGTGATGCTGGCCCGACGCTGAGCTGCTGGGGTGCTTGGCTGTCAGCGCTGGTGGCTCTGATGTGCTTCCCAAGGGGTGGAGATTGAAGTGTGTGCTGAGGCTGAGGGAGTGGAAAGGATTCTAGGTGAGAAAGAGAAGCATTTCCCCACCCCTCCCCGCCCCTCACCACCCAGCCCAGCCCAGCCCCGCCCCGTCAGCACCGCCCTGAGTAGGACCTGGGATGGAGCCTGCAACCTAGCTGCATGCCTATGACCAGAATCCAACCCAGGACCCTTTAATCCATGGGCGGACGCTTGATCCACTGAGTCAGACCTTCCGGTGCCTGAGGGACCCCCTCCCTGTGTCCCTGGGAACCTTCTCCTCACAGCCCAGCCTACATGCACATGCCTGTGTGCACACTCACACACACACACACACACACACCAGGGGAACGTTGCCTTCCCTTCCTGAGACTCACCTTCTCACGGACACAGACGTTCACACTGGGTGATCCTGGCCCAACGCTGAGCTGCCCAAGGCTCCTGCCTTTTATAGGGCCTGGGGTCCAAGATGAAATTAAAGCCTGTGATGGGATAAACTCAGCCTGGGACGGTCCCGGTGGTATCCTTGCCCTCAGGTTCCAGCTCTAACACCTGGTCTACACCCCCCTGGTCTACACCCCCCTGGGGCCATCCTCACACACACTCCTTGCCTGCAGGGCCATCGGACCTTCTCACTAAGGGGCATGCGAAGGTGAGCATCGTCGCAAGGACGTTCTGGTCAGGTTAGGTCATGAGAAAGTCATATGCCAGGGACACCGGTTAATAATTTGGATTTTTTTCAATAGATGGAGTTACACATCTGTGGATATATATGCGGTTTGATACGTATGCTATTTTGTTGTATTGACAGCAAGCTTCAAAACTTCATATGTCAAATTTGCTGAAGGTGTTAACATCATAGATTTTTTAAAAATATGTTTTATTGATTTTGTACAGAGAGGAAGGGAGAGGGATAGAGAGTCAGAAACATCGATGAGAAACATCGATCAGCTGCCTCCTGCATACCCCCTACTGGGGATGTGCCCGCAACCAAGATACATGCCCTTGACCGGAATCGAACCTGGGACCCTTCAGTCCGCAGGCCGACGCTCTATCCACTGAGCCACACCGGTTAGGGCTGCCAAATCGCTGTCGAAAGAAGACAATGCTCTGCGTTTGGTGGGATCAGGAAGGTGTGGTGTCTATGAGCTTCCAAAACCAGGTGAAAACGTTAATACTGATCGCTACCGACAACAAATAATCCATCTGAACCACGCTTTGATCGTGAAATGACCAGAATGTTCCAGAAGACACGGCAAAGTAATTTTGCTTCATGATGACGCACCATCACACACTTCAAAACCAGTCAAAGACACGTTCAAAGATCTTGCCTTGGGAAGGATTAGTCCGCCCGCCGTATTCACCAGACCTGGCTCCCTCAGATTTCCACTTGTTCCGATTGATGGCACCTGCACTTTCTGAGCAGCACTTCAAAAACGGATGAAGAAGTGGAAAACTGGGCCTCTAGTTTGCCTCAAAACAAGAAAAGTTCTATTGGGACGGTCTCCACAAATTATGTGAAAGATGGGAAAATGTATAGCTAGTGATGGACATGACTTTGAATAAAGCACTTCTGATGTTTCTCTTGAAATTATCGTGTTTTCATTGATTACAAAATCTGCATTATTAACTAGTACACCTAGTGTATATTTTAGGACTGGAGAGAGAGAGAGAGAGAGAGACCTCAATGATGAGAGAGAATCATTGATCGGCTGCCTCCTGCATGCCCTACCAGGGATCCAGCCCAATACCCCCGCATGTGCCCCAACCAGGAATCGAATCGTGACCTCTTGGTTCACAGGTTGATGCTCCACCACTGAGCCACACCGTCCGGCCTCCTAAAAATTTCCTAGTTGTGCGAGATGTGTGAATGGCAAGTGGAGCACGGTCTCATGTTCTCTCCTGTGTCCATCCCAGGCTGGTGAGTCCCAGGGGTCCTGGGACCCCAGAGGAGGGGCTCTGAGTCCAGCAGGGACACCGAAGGGGCTGTGAGGAGGATGCTTTTATTTTTTTTTATTTTTTAAAAATATATCTTATTGATTTTTTTTTTAAAATATATTTTATTGAACTTTTACAGAGAGGAAGGGAGAGAGATAGAGAGTTAGAAACACCAATGAGAGAGAAACATCGATCAGCTGCCTCCTGCACATCTCCTACTGGGGATGTGCCTGCAACCCAGGTACATGCCCTTGACCGGAATCGAACCTGGGACCTTTCAGTCTGCAGGCTGACGCTCTATCCACTGAGCCAAACCGGTTTCGGCATATCTTATTGATTTTTTACAGAGAGGAAGGGAGAGGGGTAGTCAGAAACATCGCTGAGAGAGAAACATCCATCAGCTGCCTCCTGCACACCCCCTACTGGGGATGTGCCCGCAACCAAGGTACATGCCCTTGACCGGAATCGAACCCGGGACCCTTGAGTCCGCAGGCCGACACTATCCACTGAGCCACACCGGTCAGGGCGAGGAGGGTCCTTTTAGAGGGAAGAGGTTGGTGGTATTTCATGGGGAGAAACACATGATGATTGATAGGTGTTTGCGGACGGATGGAGTGGAAGGGGTTCTAAAGGTGAGAGGCTCCTGGTTAGAAATCTGGCTGGGAGGGCACTTCCCATACTCACTAGGGCAGTGGCTCTCAACCTGTGGGTCCCGACCCCTTTGGGGGTCGAATGACCCTTTCACAGGGGTCGCCTAAGACCATCGGAAAACACATATATAATTACATACTGTTTTTGTGATGAATCACTATGCTTTAATTATGTTCAATTTGTAGCAATGAAAATCCATCCTGCCTATCAGATATTTACATGACGATCCATAACAGTAGCGACATGACAGTGATGAAGTAGCAACAAAAATAATTTTATGGTTGGGGGTCAGCACAACATGAGGAGCTGTATTTAAGGGTCACAGTGTTAGGAAGGTTGAGAACCACTGGAATAGAGCATCAGCCTGCAGACTGAAGGGCCCCGGGTTCGATTCTGGTAAAGGGCATGTACCTTGGTTGTGGGCTCCTCCCGGGACCAGGCGTGTGCAGGAGGCAACCAATCGAGGTGTTTCTCTCACATCGCTATTTCTCTGTCTTTCCCTCTCTCTTCCACTCTCTCAAAGAAAAGAAAAAAATCCGTGGAAGAAAATCCTCGGGGGAGGATTAAATATAATAATTTTTTAAATGTTTTTATTGATTTTTTAAAATTTTGTTTCATTGCTTAAAGTATTACAAAGAGGATTACATTTGTCTCCTTTTTTCCCCCCTTGACAATTCCCCCGGCCTCCCCTACCCCCCAGTGTCTTGTGTCCATTGGTTATGCTTATAAGCATGCATACAAGTCCTTCGGTTGATCTCTTACCCCCCTCCCGCCCCTCAACCCTCCCCGGCCTTCCCGCTGTAGTTAGTCTGTTCAAGGCTGCTCTGCCTCTTATCTATTTTATTTAAAATACATTTTATTGATTTTTTTACAGAGAGGAAGGGAGAGAGATAGTCAGAAACATCGATGAGTCAGAAACATCGATCGGCCCCCTCCTGCACATCTCCCACTGGGGATGTGCCCGAAACCCAGATACATGCCCTTGACCGGAATCGAACCTGGGACCCTTGACTCCGCAGGCCGAATCTCTATCCACTGAGCCAAACCGGTTTCGGAGCGTCTTCTCTATTTCTGCTCATCGGTTTATAATGGTCTTTATTATCCATAAATGAGTGAGATCAGGTGGTATTTTTCTCCCATTGACTGGCTTATTTCACTTAGCATAATGCTCTCCCCAGGGGAGGATTAAAAATAATTTTTTAAAAAAGATCTAGATAAAATCACTTCCCACCTCTGATCTGGACCTCCCACTGGCTCCGGTCCAAGCCTGACTCTTGCCTCTCCCTCTTTTGTTCTCACCCAGAAGGAGGCCTACGAGTCCCATAACCAGCTTAGCTTCCCTGCCCAGCAGTTCCATGTATTGTAGCCTGTTTTGGGGATAAGCTCCCAGGTCTCTTTCCATTGACGTCTCCGAATGGGACCCTCTCCATATAACAGGGGTGGGCAACCCCTGGCACGCGTGCCAAACATGGCACGCCAGTAACTTTTGCTGGCACGCGAAACCCTCTCGTATAATCTTCCATTTACAATTGTGAATCTTTGTTCTCGGTGATGACTTTTGTTAAGTCTGGTAATCGGAGCAGCCTGACGGACGAAAGTAGTGGCTCATGCATATCTCTGAAGGTCACGGAATGTAAACCTGATGTAAAATCTCTGCCATCAGTGATGCAGCAGCAGAAGTCCCCCTGATAATAGCAAACGGAGCCATAAAGTTTTCTGTCGGACTACCAGTGTACATGCATACATTAAAAAATAAATGCAGCCCTGACTGGTTTGGCTTGGTGGATAGAGCGTCGGCCTGCGGACTGAAGGGTCCCGGGTTCGAGTCCGGGCAAGGGCATGTACCTTGGCTGCAGGCACATCCCCCCAGTGGGAGGTGTGCAGGAGGCAGCTGATCAATGTTTCTCTCTCATCGATGTTTCTGACTATCCCTCTCCCTTCCTCTCTGTGAAAAATCAATAAAATATATATTTAAAAAATGTATCTTTCATCATCGTCGACTGTGTTTCTGTCGCTCGAATGAATTTTATTATTTCTTCACGGTTCTTCACATACGTACACCTTAAGAGAGATCAAGTAAGCGTCACATGTTCTCAAAAAATTAGGGTTGGCATGCAGAATTTTGAGTCAGAGATTTTGCGGGTTTTGGCACCCACTCACAAAAACGTCGCCCACCCCTGCCATATAACCTCTGGCCTAGACTTGAGCCCCTGAGTTTGGTTGGGGAGTCTCCAGGGTCCCCCAAACCAAGGGCTGGGAGAAAGGCAGGGGAGGGGCTCACGACACCACAAATCCAGAGATGTGGGCTGGGACCAATTAGGGTCTGGGGCACCTCACTCACCTGCGGAGGCTCCAGAAGCTCTTCCGCAGCCATGGCAACCGGTGGTGAGTGTCAGATGCTAGCCCCGCCCCGTGGCTCAGAGGCTGAGCGTCCACCTATGAACCAGGAGGCCATGGTTTGATTCCCCGGCAGGGCACACGCCCAGTTGTGGGCTCGATCCCCAGCAGGGGGCGTGCAGGAGGCAGCTGATCAGTGACTCTCTCTCATCATTGATGTTTCTCTCTCTCTCCCTCTGCCTTCCACTCTGAAGTCAATAAAAACATTAAAAAAAAAAAAAAAAGTAAGAGTCAGGTCCTGACCTGTTTGGCTCAGTGGATAGAGCGTCGGCCTGCGGACTGAAAGGTCCCAGGTTCGATTCCGGTCAAGGGCATGTACCTGGGTTGCGGGCACATCCCCAGTGGGGGGTGTGCAGGAGGCAGCTGGTCGATGTTTCTCTCTCATCGATGTTTCTAACTCTCTATCCTTCCCCCTTTCTCTCTGTGAGAAATCAATAAAATATATTTTTAAAAAAGAGTCAGATCTTTGGGGGCTGTCACCACAGCAGGATTCCCAGGCTGGGGCCTTCCCTGTCCCCCAGAGCCAGGTACCCTGGGGCAACTGTCTCACCTCTGGGCTGCCTCTGGCCAGCTGTGCATCGTTGGAAAAAGGCTAAACCTCCCTCGGCCTCAATGTCCTCATCACCCCCAGCCTGCTCCTGTTCTGAGTGGACTTTGAGGGACTTTGAAAACTCATTGTATTAGAGGCCCAGTGCGCGAAATGCATGCACTGGTAGGGTCGCTCGCGGCTGCCGGCCGGGTACCCCCTCCCTTCCCCAGCCAGCCGCCCCCTGGTCGAACTCCCGGACAGTGAAGGGGGCAATTTGCATACTACGCTTTTATTATATAGGATGTTGCCTCTTTGCCTCAACATCCTCCACGGCTCCCAGGGCCCTAGGACCGAAGGCGCAACTCCTCAGGCTGCCGTTGTGGGTGGGACTGGACCCAAACGTTACGGTTATCTTTTTGTTTGCTTGATCTATTATTGTTGATAGTGTTACAGATGCCTCCCATTCCCGGCCCCTCATCCCTTTACTACCACCCCCTCCTGGCCCCTACCCGCCCACCCCCCCCCCAGGTCTTCACCACCCTGAAGCCCCTGGGCATGGGCTGTGCATATCTATACTAATAAACGGGTAATATGCTAATTCAACCAGATGTCTTCCGGAAGTCCTTCCTGACAAAGTCAGGCCCCGGCGAAGCTGCCTGCGGTCCCAGGGGAAGCCAGCCCAGGTCCCAGGTGCTTTGGGCCAGCCAGAGGGAGGGAAGCCCGGGTCCTGGGTGCAGGGGCCGAGGCAGAGGGGTTAGGGGCGATCAGGCAGGCAGGGGAGCAGTTAGGGGCAATCAGGCAGGCAGGGGAGCAGTTAGGGGAGATCAGGCAGGCAGGGGAGCAGTTAGGGGAGATCGGGCAGGCAGGGGAGCAGTTAGGAGCGATCAGGCAGGCAGGGGAGCAGTTAGGGGCGATCAGGCAGGCAGGGGAGCAGTTAGGGGCGATCAGGCAGGCAGGCAAGTGGTTAGGAGCCAGTGGTCCCAGATTGAGAGGGAGAGACCCTTCGTAATCAGGCCTAAACCATCAGTCAGACATCCCCCATCCTCCCTGCCCCCATACATGAATTTTGTGCACGAGACCTCTAGTAAGCATATAAGCACTTTGGTTTTTATCTTCTTGCCGCTCCCCCCGCCCCCCCAATGGAGGTATGTCCGTCTGTTCCCTGCCTCCCTGCTTCTGGTCTCATTCTATGGGTCAATTCACGTTGTTCATTAGATTCCACCCCTCAGTGAGATCATGTGATATCTGCTTTTCTCGGATCACCCAAACTTTGTTTCCTGCAAAAGCAACAAGGACCCCAGGTTCCGGGTCCTCCTGGGTCAGCAGCCCCTGCGTGCGTGGATAGACGGCCCCTCACGTCTCCCACCCCATCACACCCGGTATCACCCCCAGAGCACCTCAGGTCCTGACGCAGGGCCCGGGCTGCAGGGTTGGGTGTGGAGGCCCAGGGACGCGCTCACCTCAGCTGGGCGCCTCAGCGCGGCCGCTGCCGTTGGACCCGGTGGCCCGAGTGGAGGTGATAGCCGGGCGACCAGGGCGGGGACCCTGGCACAGAGGTCCTGAGGCCAGGCTCGCGGGCAGCGCTGCCCCCACCCCCTGGAGCCCAAGCCCGAGCTTCTAAGGAACCAACCCATGAACCCCTCAAACGGGCACCAGAACACCGGAGCCGGCTTCGCTCTTTCTCAAAAGGGCAGCAGGACTATTTCTGGGGAGTTGTGGGGGCTACTGGTCAGGGAAGTGTCTAGGTTTCAGACTCAATGAAGCGAATCCAAGTGGACACCCACTGGTAGCTGGTAGTTTGCTGCATGTATCATCAGGGATCATACATTATTAACCGATACCCAGGATGGGCACACGCTTCTCATGACGTAACGTGTACCTTGGCTTTGGGAATATTTTCTATTTCTTCTTTCTTACTGAATTTACTGCAGTGACATTGGGTGATAAACGTATATAGGTTCCAAGTGTACAGCCTACATGACGTGTATTGTACTGTGCGTTCACCACTCCAAGTCTCCTCCCATCACCACTTACGCCCCCTTTACCCTCGTCTGCTCCCCCCACCTCCTTTCCTCTCTGGTAATCACCACCCTGTTCTCCATCCACCCATCGGCATCCCACCAGCTCGCAGCACAGGGGTCTGCAGCACAACTGGGGGGGGGGGGGCTAGGGCGGAGCCAGCAAGATGCCACGTCACTGAGTCACGGTGCTAAGGCCTTGCGGGGTGTGCGTGTCATAATCATCTGGCTGCTCGCGTTCCAATATATCCCATGTTCAAAGGCTGTTCAATCGCGCTGTTTACCCATATCTTCAGGGAAAAAAATCACTTCTACTGTCGTGGTAAACAACCTGCTTCCCTATTTATGATGGTCTGGCCCTCTAGCAACTTCAGCGCGAAATGATAGCTAATTTGCCTACAAACGTCAGGTGGTCACAATCATCTGGCCACTCAGTGTGTGTGTGTGTAATTTTTTTAAAAGATTTTGTTTTAAAAATGTATCACATTAACTTTTGGGAGGTATTAACTGGACCACTTCACAATGTCACGAATCCTCTGCTCAAACGGCTTCTGTTGTGTTAATAAGTATATAAAGCTGACATTAAAAATTAAAGTCCCTTTTCTCAGCAGTGTGTTTATTCAGGAAGAGAGAATTGTGATTGGGGGCGGGAGGAAGTTGGGAGGGTGTTTTGGAGAAGAGCTAGAGTTCTGGAGTGACAGTGCCTTCTCAGGGCGAGTGGCTGGAAGAGCTGATTTCTTGAAGGACATGCATTTACACTAAGAGCCAGAAAGCTGGAACCAAGTCCAATGTCCTCCGTTAAACATAAACATTCATAGACAGAACGGTTCTCAAGAACAGAAGGAAGAAGGACTTCACGTAAGTGTGATTGATGTAATACCATGAGCATGAGGGAAACCAAAACTTAAAACCTTTGAGGACAATTCATGACACGTATCCTATAAAATTCTATAAAACACAGAGTCTGTGAAAGAAACTAACACCAGCCCCTCCAGCTGAGAGCAGAGGGAGAGTAAAAAGGGCACGAGGTGAGAACAACTGGTCGTTGTGACTCTGACCGTGCGGGACACAGGCCACAGCGCAGCAACTGCAACAGGCAGTGACCAAGCCTGTATGTGCGGACGACAGCCTCCCTACAGGCCACTCGTCCCCACAGCCTTCAGCCGCTGGAACACGCACGGAGGGCACGCCCTCTCGTGGCCCATGGCTCACCGTGTCTTGCAACAAATGATGGTCTCAGCCCAGCCCCTGCAGTCCCACAAGCAGCAGCCGCCCAACTGGAGACGTGAAGGCACATGATCCCTCCGGGAAGCAGCCTCCTCACGATGGGGCTCGGCCTTCGGTGTGGCCTCCCGGGAGGCAGCCGACCTGCCCTGGCAGGAGCAGCGGAGCTTGTCCCAGCCTGGCCTCCTCCTCGGGGCTGGCACCCAGGCGTGAGGACCACAGAGTGCTGTCCGTCTCCCGGGAGGCCTGGCAGAGGGGCCACCCTTCTTCTTCTCAAGACACCGTCACCCGGCCCAACCTGAGCAATGAAACTGAGTCCAGATGATGCCTTGGTCAGAAAGGAGGGAAGAGCCTCCCTCCCCCTCAGACGCATCGAGGAACCTGGGGAGGTTGGCAGAGTGTGCGGTGGCCGGGGCAGGGGCACGAATTCAGGCAAAGGAGGCGGCGGCGGAGAAATACGTCTCCTGTGCATCCGGAAGAATCCATGGGGGGGACCTCCCTGCTGTGCCGCTGCAGCACGAAGCTCACCATCAGCGGACGCTTCCCGGCAGGAAGGGGCGTGTTCCCTGAGGCGGGTCTCAGGCTTCTCCCGTGTGGACTCTGGGGCCAAACAAGGTTAATATCTTGAAAGAATCTCTGGGTTAAGCTGTCGCGTTAAACTGACAACAGAGCAGTGGCTGACAAGGCGCCCGAAGTCACTGCGCATCCCTGAGGTCATCGGGCATGAAGTTTCCGGTGCTGGATGATGTGGGAGCTCTGGCTGAAGGATTTCCCACACTCCCCGCACTCGTAAGGCCGTTCTCCCGTGTGAACTCTCTGATGCTGGATGAGGTTGGACTTTTGGCTGAAGGATTTCTCACACTCGTCACACTTGTAAGGCCTGGCTCCGGTGTGAATCCTCCGGTGCTGGTTGAGCGTGGAGCTGTGGCTGAAAGATCGCCCACAATCCCCGCACTCGTAAGGCCTTTCCCCAGTGTGGATCCGCAGGTGCTGCACGAGCTTGCACTTGTAGCTGAAGGCCTTCCCGCACTCGCCGCACTTGTAGGGCCGCGCCCCGTTGTGGATCTTCTGGTGCTGGACCAGGTTGGAGCTCTGGCTGAAGGAGCTCCCGCACTCGCCGCACGTGTAGGGCCGGACGCCCGTGTGCACCCGCTGGTGCTTGATGAGCGTGGAGCTGTAGCTGAAGGCCTTCCTGCACTCCCCGCACTCATACGGCTTCACCCGGTTGTGGATCTGCAGGTGCTGCACCAGCCGGAGCTTGTAGGTGAAGGCCTTCCCGCACTCGCTGCACTTGTAGGGCCGGGCCCCGGTGTGCATCCTGTGGTGCTGGATGAGGTAGTAGCTTTGGCTGAAGGATCGCCCGCACTCGTTGCACTCGTAGGGCCTCGCTGCCGGGCCGGGGGCCTGGCCGTCGGGGACCGCGGGGCTTTGCTGAAAGGGCTTCTCGCCGTCATCACAGTCATAGTGACTCTGAGCGGGAAGCTGCTGGTGCTGAAGGGGTTTGTACTCGTGGCTGAGTGGCTGTCCGTAGTCAGTGCCGGGATAATGGCTCCCCCCGTGGTGCCAGGCCTCCCCAGCCCCTCGCTGGAAGCTGCCGGGGGGCGGTGCCCCTCTGAGGGAGGCCTGATGCTGCAGGAGACCCACCATGGCCAGGAAGTCCTCCCTGACGGCCCCACAGAAGGCGAAGGGCTTCCCCGACGTGTGGAACCTGCAGCTCGTCACACACGAGGCTGCGTCCACGGCGTCCACGGCGCTCCAGGGCGGCTTCTCGTCCTGGGGCTGCCCGCGCAGGCCCGCCGCGAGCCAGGGCTGCCTTCCGCAGGCCTCGCAGGCCCCTGGGAGCTCGGTCAGGCACAGCACGCCTCCCCCGACCAGGACACACTTCTCACAGGGCTGAGCATCCTGAGTGGCTGGATATGGACTTGGCGTCGGGCCCAGGGATGTCCGTGCCACAGACACACCCTGCGCAGACAGCACCGCCTCCGCCTCCTCTGCCTCCTCCTCCTCCTCCGCCTCTGCCGCCTCCGCTCCGTACCAGCAACCTGGGGGCACAGAGAGGCTGCTGAGTGCACGCTGACCTTAGACGTGCGTGAGGGTCGCCCAAGAACTGAATGCAGGGATGGTTTTCAGGTTGGTGAATGGGGCTGCTTTGTACCAAGGACTGGAGCTCGAAAAGCCCCAAGAATTAAGGGGGTCACCAAGTGACTCCTCTTCCTATGGCCTTCAGAGAGGAAGGGAGAGGGGGAGAGAGAAACATCCATGATGAGAGAGAACCACAGTCAGCTGCCTCCTGTACAGCCCACACTGGAGACTGAGTCTGCCAACTGGGCACCCGCCCCGACCAGGAACCGAACTGTGACCTCCTGGTTCATGGGTCGATGCTCAACTGCTGCACCAGCCAGAGATGGTTTGAAAGGTGTGTGCGGCCCTCGCAACATTACAGGTGAGAGAACAATAGGCCACAGAGGATCAGAGTCTGGGTAGAAAGAGGCTGAGAGAAATGTCCAGAAGGGGGACGGGCCGGCGGGCATGTGGTGGGGCCTGGGACAGGCTCCTGGTGGGGCCTGAGCACGCCCCCGCTATGCCCACTGCTGCCGTTCACCGTCACGCCCCTCACGGGGCACCCAGGACGCTGCTCCCTAAACCCCAGGTGAGCAGGGGTGGGGCCCAGGGGACAGAGCCCTCAGGCAGGAAGTGAGGGGCCAGCACTGCCCCGAGCCGTTCTGAACGTGACAGACGGGAAACAACTAAATGCTGTCCAGACGGGCGGGGGTTCTGTGAGAACAACCCTGGGACGCAGCAGTGACGACACGGACAGGCATAGACGGGGTCACGGGGAGAACGGCCTGGGAGTGATCCGGCCGGGCAGGCGGGACGGAGAGGCAGGGCCAGCTGAGGAGCACTCTGGGCTCTAGGTCTGTGGCGAGTCTGCCTGGGCAGGGAGCTGGGGAAAGGTCTGGACACGAGCAGAGCAGTGCACCCTGGGAGAGCAAGCACAGGCGGGGTCTCCAGGAGAACACGGGGCCAAGTGCTGCCGGACACCAAGGCAACAACATGAACGCCAACTGCAACTGCGAAGGTGGAGCCCGGCGGCCTGGTGACTGAGCGTCGACTGTGAGCCAGGAGGTCAGGTTTGATTCCCGGTCGGGGCACAGGCCGGGGAGGCGGGCTCCATCCCCAGTGGGGGGCTGCAGGAGGCAGCCGATCCCTGATTCTCTCTCATCACTGATGTCTACCTTTCTCTCTCCTCCACTCTGAAATCAGTCACAATATTTTGTAAAAGAGAAGATGAGTCTAAGCCGTCACTGGGTGGGCGCGGGGACTCACCCAGCGAGGTCACCAGGGCGAAGTTCTCCAGCATCACATCGTGGTAGAGGCATCGCTGCGTCTCGTCCAGGAGCCCCCACTCCTCCCAGGAGAAGAACACGACCACGTCCTCAAAGCTCACGCGGCCCTGCCACGAGGGAGAGATGAAGCTGCAAACCCTGTGCAGGCCTGGCAGCCCCTCTCCCTTCACCCCTGCCCAACACCCGCTCAGAGGAATGCCAGGCCTCCCCCCAGGCGGCCCCCGGGCGCTCACCAGCACCCAGCCAGACGGCTCCCCAACACCCTCCCAGCGGGCCTCCACGCTACACCCACTGTGCCTGCACCCTCACTTACGTCCCTAGTGCCTAGGACCGGGGCCACTGCCTCCCACACTCTCCACCTGCTCTTCTCTGACATGTCACCCCTCACAGGGCCCAGCCCGGCCGGCGAGGCTCAGGGGCCGAGTGTCCACCTAGGGGCCCGGTCAGGGCACAGTCCCAGGCTGCAGGCTCGATCTCCAGTGCGGGGCCTGCAGGAGACCAGGGATTCTCTGGTCACTGACGCTTCTCTCTCCCTCTGCCTTCCTCTCCGAAGTCGGTAAAGAACGGGGCACACACAGGACCTCGAACTGTCAGACCAAACGGACCCTCCAGCCCACCGTGAAGGCCGGTCCGCTGGGCTCTCGCTTCCACCTCAGCCGCCTCGAACACGCCCAGGGTCCTGCCTCCCGCTGACCGGGCCCAGCGGCCAGACCTCTCCTTCTCACCCAGCGGTCAGACCTCTCCTTCTCACCCAGCGGTCAGACCTCTCCTTCTCACCCAGCGGCCAGACCTCTCCTTCTCACCCAGCGGCCAGACCTCTCCTTCTCACCCAGCGGTCAGACCTCTCCTTCTCACCCAGCGGTCTGACCTCTCCTTCTCACCCAGCGGTCTGACCTCTCCTTCTCACCCAGCGGTCAGACCTCTCCTTCTCACCCCGCGGTCAGACCTCTCCTTCTCACCCAGCGGTCAGACCTCTCCTTCTCACCCAGCGGTCAGACCTCTCCTTCTCACCCAGCGGTCAGACCTCTCCTTCTCACCCAGCGGTCAGACCTCTCCTTCTCACCCAGCGTTCAGACCTCTCCTTCTCACCCAGCGTTCAGACCTCTCCTTCTCACCCAGCGGCCAGACCTCTCCTTCTCACCCAGCGGCCGGACCTCTCCTTCTCACCCAGCGGCCGGACCTCTCCTTCTCACCCAGCGGTCGGACCTCTCCTTCTCACCCAGCGGTCGGACCTCTCCTTCTCACCCAGCGGCCGGACCTCTCCTTCTCACCCAGCGGCCGGACCTCTCCTTCTCACCCAGCGGTCGGACCTCTCCTTCTCACCCAGCGGCCGGACCTCTCCTTCTCACCCAGCGGTCGGACCTCTCCTTCTCACCCAGCGGCCGGACCTCTCCTTCTCACCCAGCGGTCGGACCTCTCCTTCTCACCCAGCGGTCGGACCTCTCCTTCTCACCCAGCGGCCGGACCTCTCCTTCTCACCCAGCGGCCGGACCTCTCCTTCTCACCCAGCGGCCGGACCTCTCCTTCTCACCCAGCGGTCGGACCTCTCCTTCTCACCCAGCGGCCGGACCTCTCCTTCTCACCCAGCGGCCGGACCTCTCCTTCTCACCCAGCGGCCGGACCTCTCCTTCTCACCCAGCGGCCGGACCTCTCCTTCTCACCCAGCGGCCGGACCTCTCCTTCTCACCCAGCGGCCGGACCTCTCCTTCTCACCCAGCGGCCGGACCTCTCCTTCTCACCCAGCGGCCGGACCTCTCCTTCTCACCCAGCGGCCGGACCTCTCCTTCTCACCCAGCGGTCGGACCTCTCCTTCTCACCCAGCGGTCGGACCTCTCCTTCTCACCCAGCGGTCAGACCTCTCCTTCTCACCCAGCGGTCAGACCTCTCCTTCTCACCCAGCGGCCAGACCTCTCCTTCTCACCCAGCGGTCAGACCTCTCCTTCTCACCCAGCGGCCGGACCTCTCCTTCTCACCCAGCGGTCGGACCTCTCCTTCTCACCCAGCGGTCGGACCTCTCCTTCTCACCCAGCGGTCAGACCTCTCCTTCTCACCCAGCGGTCGGACCTCTCCTTCTCACCCAGCGGTCGGACCTCTCCTTCTCACCCAGCGTTCAGACCTCTCCTTCTCACCCAGCGGCCAGACCTCTCCTTCTCACCCAGCGGTCGGACCTCTCCTTCTCACCCAGCGGCCGGACCTCTCCTTCTCACCCAGCGGCCGCGCTAACCCACTCCGTGCTGCCGAGGAGCCCCGCCCTGGTCCCCACCTCCTCACGCCCCCGGGCGACGGCTCTGCTGGGCTAGCAGCCCCCGTCACCCCGTCACCCCGTGTCAGAGCCCAACCCCAAGGACCCTGTGGCCGAGGACAGCCACGCCCTGGGGCGGGGGACGGAGGACTTGAACCCGCATCAGGGGACACGACTCGGCCCTCAGCTCGCAGACGAGCTCACCCAACAGCCGGACCGACACCCGGCTCCGGAACACCCAGCGCTCCGGCGACTCGGAGTGACCTCTGGGCCCCCGCTCCCACCACCCCCGCCCCCCGCCCCCCGCCCCCCGTCCACGCTCCCGGAAGCCTGGCACCCGGCGCTTCCTCTTCCCGCCCTCACGTGTGATCGACAGGCCGTCCCTCCAGCCGGCCCGGAAGGAGGCCCCGACGCGCAGGGACTCTCCTTCCCACCGTCACTCACCCGCCCCGGCCCCGCCGCACCCCGCGCCCCCACTGCCAGGGGCCTAGCGGGGGGCATGGGCCACGGTTCCCCCTGCGACCCTCACAGCCGACGGCCCGCACTCGGTTCTCGGAGTGGCGCCCAGCTCTGGACTGAAACCACGCCGGTCCCGACCGCTCAGCCGCCAGGGAGCCCCCCCCCTCCCCACCCCGAGCTGCGAAGACAGAACCGCCCCGACTCCTTCCTCTCCACACGCTGCCCCCCCCCCCCCAGTCCATCCCGGGGCTCTGTCCCCTCCATCTGCGCGTCCTGGCCCCGGTGCCCGGAAAGCCTGCACAGGACCCGCCTGGGCCGGACGCTGCCCCAGGGGCCCGGGGACAGCAGAGAGGACGGGGACCCCCTCCCGCGAGCCGACAGCGATGGGAACCGGGGGGCAGAGGGCGGGACGGACAGGGAGGGGAGCCCATGGGCGCCGACCCCCGCACCGGGGCCACCGCTGGAGCCTGGAGACCAGGCGCCTGTCTCCTCGGGATTCGGCGCCAGCCCGTCACCCACCCTCTGCTCTGCTCTGGTGCGCAGCCTCCGGGCGCATCGTCTCTCCTCCGGTGACCGCCCCCCTCCCCCCGGCTCCACCCCCCTCCCCCGCCCCGCCCCCCGCCTGTGACTACCCCCTCCGGTTCCGCTCTGCCCTCCGGTTCCGCTCTGCCCTCGGCAGCAGCAGGGCCCCGGCTCCGGTCCCCTGGCTCAGGGCAGCTCCGTCCCGGCACGGCTGGCCCCGGGGTGTCACCACCGGCGCCTCACGGTCCTGGGTGCCCCCCCCGGGCTTTAGGGTTTTTTTTTGGGGGGGGGGTTCCACTCACCTCGGCCAGGCCCCCCAGCGAGGCCGCCGCCATGGCGCTCGGTGCCCCCAGGACAGCGGCGGCCGCCCCGCCTCCTCCGTGGGGTCTGGGCGCCCAGAGTCTCCGGACGGACGAGGAGCCGTCACCGGGGCGCCCCGCCAGCCCGGGACCCTCATTGGCTCACGCAGACAATGCTCCGCGCAGGGCTTTCTGGGCGACGCTCCCGCAGCCACACGGGCCTCCGGGCGGCAGCCCCAGCGAACCGCCTGGAACAGAGCGCCTGGAACAGAGGGGGCGGCAGTGCCAGGGGCATCAGAGGCATCGGGGCAGCTTGTCCTTAAAGGGGCCGTGCCCGGATCCTGGGACGCTGCCAGCAACCGATCCCCTCCGTGTTTAGAGACATGATCTCAGGCGCCGGGAAGGACCGGAAGCTGCCAGGTACCCTTTTAGGTCCCCCCCCCCCCCCCATTTCTCCCAACTCTTCTATCCGCCCATTTATGTCACAGCCCAGCTCCGACCCCGATGCTCTCTGGGAGGGGAAGGGAGGGGAGGGGGAAAGGCGGGGGAGGGGAGAGGGGAGGGGGAGAGGCGGGAGAGGGGAGGGGGGAGAGGGGAGGGGAGGGGAGGGGGGGGGAGAGGGGAGGGAGAGGGGAGGGGAAGGGAGGGTTCCCTCCCCCAGGGGCGCCGACAGTAAAGGAAGCCCACTGCTCACCGGGATCGGGAGGCGCCGCGGCTCCGGCTCCCAGGAGGGTCCGAAGGTCCGGGCGCAGTCGGTGCCGCGTGTCCAGCGCCCCCGGCTCAGAGCTGTCAGGCAGGACACAGAGCCGTTGGTCTCCCATGAGGCCGACACATTACCCGAAAATCAGATTCTGCCCATTTCCCTGATTCTCCCCGTTCTGTCGGAAATTCCAGGGAATGGGCGTGTCGCTCTCAAAATGTCAGTAGATACGCCGAGGGCTTCAGGACCCAGTAGAGCAGCGGTTCTCAACGTTCCGGCCTTTGAATGCAGCTCCCCAGGTTGTGACCCAGCCCTAACACTATGTTCGTTCCTGGTTCACAACTGTCATGCTGCTGCTGCTATGAATCGTCATGTAAATATCTGATCTGCAGGATGGTCTTGGGCGGCCCCTGTGAAAGGGCCGTTCCACCGCCAAAGGGGTCGCGACCCACAGGTTGAGAACCGCTGCCGCAGAGGCAAGACCAGGAGCTGAGAAAACCACAGACCTACAACCTGCTCAGGAGGCCTTCCTGCCGGGAACACCCACGCCATTCCCTGCAATTCCCTCATCACTGACGTCACTACCTCTCCCTCTCCCTTTCTCTCTGAGATCAATAAACTATATTTTAATAAAACAGCAGTTGAGCAACATTATAAAGAATAAACTTGCGGGTGAGGAAGACATGAGACAAAAATAAAAACATAAAGACCCACAATCTATGGGGCAGAGCCAGACAGTTCTGAGAGAAAAACCTATAGCAATATAGGCCTACCTCAAACAAACAAACAGACAAACAAACAGAAACACAAGAAAAATATCAACAAATAAAAGAATAGGAGAAACTAAGATGGCGGCATAGATAAACACCGGGAAATTGCTGCTTCCCACAACAATCGATAAATGCATCAAAAACACAAGGTGGACATCATCCAGAGCTACAGGAGGGCTGGCTGAGTGTAAATTCTACAACTAGAAGGAGAGAAAAGCACACTGCGAGCGGGAGGAGCTGCGGAGGTGGCGTGCAGAGGTACGGGGGCTCGCGCGCGCGGAAAGGGTCTGGCACCTGAGGACGCGGCTGTCTTTTTGAATCCGGAGGGAGACACAAGCTCCCGACGGCTCTGAAATCCGGTTCCGGGAAGTCTCTGGGGACCCAGGACTCATACGGGGAGATACTGGACTGTCTGGCAGCGGGCGAGCTTGAGAGCGGCTTTCCCTCAGAGGTGCTTGCAGCCATTGCCGGGACACTGGGACTCGGACTCCTTAGGGCGGGGCTGAGGCTCCGCCATAGCTGCTTTCTCCGCCCTTTGATTCCTTGAGACCCCGCCCCGCCCAGGCTGCAGCAGAGGCTTTTGCATATGAATGCCCCGGCCATTTGCAACCTGTAATTACCTAACCGCAGCCGGGCCAGATAGACCCAGAGCTTCCAAGAGAAGGCCCAAGGCCCCACAGCGGCTTGCATTGCTACACAGCTGAGCATCATCAGGGCAGCTGATTCTCGCTGCCAATTGCCCTGGAGGTCAATTCCTCCCAGTGATCCTACAACAACCAAGGCATAGCTACAACAAGACTGTGCACAAAGCCCACGAGGGGGTGCACCAAGAGTGTCCACCTCAGGTAACTGGGGAGGCTGAGCCACTGGGCCCTACAGGACACCTAGCACACAAAGCCACTCTATCAACACAGGGAAGCAACCAAAATGCGGAGACAAAGAAACAGGTCACAAATGGCAGAAATGGAGGAAAGCAAACGATTGGATATAGAGTTTAAGGCCACGGTTATAAGGTTTTTCAAGAATTTTATGGAAACCGCCGATAAATTTAATGAATCCCTCAATAAGTATAGGGAGACCATGGAGGACATGAAAAAGGACCAACTAGAAATTAAGCATACACTGACTGAAGTAAAGAATAATTTACAGAGATCCAGCAGCAGAAAAGAGGATCCCAAGAATGAAGTCAAAGATTTGAAATACAAAGAAACAAAAAATACCCAACCGAAAAAGAAAAAAGAAAAGAGATTCCAAAAATATGAAGATAGTGTAAGGAACCTCTGGGACAACTTCAAGCGTACCAACATCAGAATTATAGGGGTGCCAGAAGGAGAGAGAGGGCAAGATATTGAAAACCTTTTTGAAGAAATAATGACAGAAAACTTCCCCTACCTGGTGAAAGAAATGGACTTACAAGTCCAAGAAGCGCAGAGAACCCCAAACAAAAGGAATCCAAAGAGGACCACACCAAGACACATCATAATTAAAATGCCAAGAGCAAAAGATAAAGAGAGAATCTTAAAAGCAGCAAGAGAAAGACAGTCAGTTACCTACAAGGGAGTACCCATACGACTGTCAGCTGATTTCTCAACAGAAACCATGCAGGCCAGAAGAGACTGGCAAGAAATATTCAAAGTGATGAATAGCAAGAACCTGCAACCAAGATTACTTTATCCAGCAAAGCTATCATTCAGAATAGAAGGTCAGATAAAGAGCTTCACGGATAAGAAAAAGCTAAAGGAGTTCATCACCACCAAACCAGCATTATATGAAATGCTGAAAGGTATTCTTTAAGAAGAGGAAGAAGAAAAAGGAACTCTTACCATTTGCCACAGCATGGATGGAACTTGAGAGCGGATAAATACCACAGGATCTCACTCATTTGTGGAATATAATGAACAACATAAGCTGATGAACAAGGACTGATCCAGAGACGGAGAGGCATTGATTGGACTGTCGGGACTTGGAGGGAAGGTAGGGGAGGGTGGGGGTAAGGGGGAAAGATCAACCAAAGGACTTATATGCAAGCATATAGGCCTAACCAATGGACATGGACAACGGGGGGGTGAGGGCATGAGCGGGGGTGGGGGGCGTGGGGGGTAGAGGGTAACGTGGGGACAAGGACACATATGTAATATCTTAATCAATAAAAATATATTTAAAAAAAAAAAAAAAAAACACAAATAAAAGAATAAAGGTCAGACCAGAAGTAAACAAAACAGTCTAAAAACTACAAAAGTTTAATGAGAACAGGAGGTGGCTCTTTAACAAGATAAGCAAAATTGAAAAACTAACCAGATTCATCAAGGACATAAGAGGACCCGAATGAAATCAGAATCGAAAGAGAAATGATAACCGACACCACAGAAATACAAAAGCACTGAGAAAACTAGAGGCCCGGTGCTCGAAATCAGTGCCAAGGTGGGTCTTCCTTCCCCGGGTGCCGGCACCAGCTTCCCTCTGTCCCCTGGGAACAGGGCTTCGACTGGAAGGTCGTCCAGAAGAACAGCCGGTCTAATTAGCATATTATGCTTTTATTATTATAGATAATCTGAGTAAATGCCAACAAATTAGCCTAAAGAGAAAAATTCCTGAAAACAGAAACACTGAATACACCAGATCAGTGGTCGGCAAACTCATTAGTCAACAGAGCCAAATATCAACAGGACAACGATTGAAATTTCTTTTGAGAGCCAAATTTTTTAAACTTAAACTATATAGGTAGTTACATTGTTATAAACTTAATTAGGGTCCTCCTAAGGCTTAGGAAGAGCCACACTCAAGGGGCCATAGAGCCGCATGTGGCTCGCGAGTCGCGGTTTGCCGACCATGGCACCAGACCAATAACAACAAACAAAAGCCCTGGACCAGATGGCATCACAGGTGAATTTTACCAAACTAGTCCAAAAAATTCAACAAGAGGGAAGACTCTCAAACATGTTTACAAGGCCATGATTACCCTGAAACCAAACCAGGGAAAGGCATCACAAAAAAAGAATGTTATAGGCCAAAAACCCTCAAATAAAAAAATAAAAGAAAGAAAAGAAAATGAGCAAACTGAATCCAGCAATACAGCACAAAGATCAGCCCTGGTGCCCCTACACCAAAAGGCTGCAGGTTCGATTCCCAGTCAGGGCACATACCCAGGGCTGTGGGTTCAATCCCTGGCTGGGGTGTGTGCTTGAGGCAATCCATCGATGTTTCTTTCTCACACTGATGTTTCTCACTCTCTCTCCACCTCTCCCTTCCTCTCTCTCAAATCAATAAAAATATATATTTGGGTGAGGATTAAAAACAAAACAAAAAAACAGAGAGAGTCCTGACCGGTTTGGCTCAGTGGATAGAGCGTCAGCCTGCGGACTCAAGGGTCCCAGGTTCAATTCCAGTCAAAGACATGTACCTTGGTTGCGGGCATATCCCCAGTGGAGAGTGTGCAGGAGGCAGCTGATCGATGTTTCTCTCTCATCGATGTTTCTAACTCTCTATCCCTCTCCCTTCCTCTCTGTAAAAAATCAATAAAATATATTTTAACAACAACAAAAAAAACACACACAGAGAGATCACACACTATGATCAAGTGGGGTTTATTGCTGGGATGCAAAGATGGTTCAATATATGCAAATGAATTAACATGATACCACATAAGCAAAACTGTATGATCATATCCATAGAGGCAGAAAAAGCACTTGACAAGATCCTACATCCTTATATATATAAATATTTCTTAACTTTGGAGAGAGAAGGAGCGGGAGAGGGAGAAACATTGTTCGGTTGCCTCCCCATATGCACCCTGACTGGGGATCAAACCCACAACCTGGATATGTGCCCTGATCAGAATCGAATTAGTGACCTTTTGATTGGCCCGACAACATTCAACCAACTGAGCCACACCAACCAGAGCCCAACATCTGGTAGAGTGGGAACAGAAGGAACATAATGCAACATAGTAAAGACCATGTGGCAAACCCACAGCTAACATCATACTCAATGGGGAAGCCATCAAAATTAGAAAGGAAGAAGTAAAACAGACATTATTTGCAGATGACATGATACTGTACATGGACAACCCTAAAGAATCCACCAAAAAAATCTATCAGAACTGACAAATTCAGAAAAGCAGTGGGATGCAAAAGGAATATTCAGAAACTAGGTGCATTTTATACCAATAACATACTATCAGAAGGAGAAACTAAACTTAGAAACATGCAAAAAAACAAACAAACCAGAAACTACTCTCTTAAACCATATAGAAGAATAAACTCAAAATTGGTTAAAGAACTAAATGTCAGACCCCAAACCAAAAACTCCTAGAAGAAAACATAGGCAGTAAACTGATATTCCTCTTAAAGAGTTTTTGCACAGCAAAGAAACCATCAACAAAACAAAAAACCAATCTATTAAGAAAATAGTCCTCAATAGCACATGAGGGGTTGAAAGGCAAAATATGTAAGGAACTCATAAAACTTAACACCAAGAAAAGCCCCCAGCAATCCAATTAAAAAATGGGCAGAGCACCTGAAGAGACATTTCTCCAAAGATGACGTGCAGATGAGCAATAGACATATGGAACGACAATCGCTGTCACTAATCAACAGAGAAATGCAGTTTAAAACTATAAAGAGCTATCACCCCACATCTATGAGAATGGCGATCACCAAGAAATCAACAGCCCTGGCCGGTGTGGCTCAGCTGGATGGACACTGCCCTGTGCACGGAAAGGCTGCCAGTTCACTTCCCGGTCGGGGCACATGCCCGGGCTGTGGGCTGCATCCCCGGCTGGGGTGTGTGTGGGAGACAGCTGTTCGACGTTTCTCTCTCTAAAATCAGTTACACACACAGACATACGAGTGTGTGTTCATTTAGTGTATGTGTGTGTTTAAAAAATGAACATCAATAAAAAGATCTTTTGCCAAACCGCTGTGGCTCAGTGGATAGAGCGTCGGCCTGCGGACTGAAGGGTCCCGGGTTCGATTCCGGTCAAGGGCATGTACCTTGGTTGCGGGCACATCTCCAGTGGGGGATGTGCAGGAGGCAGCTGGTCGATGTTTCTCTCTCATCGATGTTTCTGACTCTCTATCCCTCTCCCTTCCTCTCTGTAAAAAATCAATAAAATATATTTTAAAAATAAATAAATAAATAAATAAAATAAAATAAAAAGATCTTTTTAAAAATCCTCAGTTCTGGATCTGGAACTTATCCTCGCTTTCCTCACCTTCCTTTAAAAACAAAAAAACAAAAATGAAATCTTACTAGACGCAAAGACAAATACTAATGATTTCACTTTCACGTGGACTCCAAAAAACAAATGAACACACAAAACAGGAAAAACCTCATAGATACACTGCACATTTTGATGGACGCTAGATGGAAGGGGTATTGGGGGACTAGGTGAAAAGGGGAAAGGGATTAAGAAATACAAATTGGCCCCAGCTGGTGTGGCTCAGTGGCTAGAGCGTCGGCCTGCGGATTGAAGGGTCCCGGGTTCGATTCTGGTCAAGGGCATTAAAAAAAGAAAAGAAAAAAACCCCTCTGCTTTCGCTTAAAAAATAAAACCAAACAAGTAAATTAATTAAATTAAATAAACCCGCCCTGGCGTGAGGAGAAGCAGGCAGGGCACACAGACTAGTATTGCGGGCGTGACACGGCCTCCACCCAGGGCCCCGCGGACACCGCGCCCCCGGCTCCCCGACCCTCGGCTTCCGCCCCGACCGGTTCCGCGGGCTGCACCCTCCCCCGCCGCCCATCGCACCCCGCCCATCGCACCCCGACAGGGCGCCCCGCGTGCACAAGCGGGAGGGACCCCAGCTCCCCGCGCCTCGCGGTCCCGGCGCGGGGCCTGGGCGGCAGGAGGGGACGGGACCCGCCCCCCGGGCTGCAGGGGGAGACGGGAGGGGGCGGCGGGGAGGCCCCGGGGGACGCGCTCACCTCCGCCGGGCGCCCTGGCGCGGCCGCCGCCATCCGGGTCTGAGGGCGGCGCAGGACGGCGGTTCGCGTCCCGGCCCCGGGGCGGACCATCTCCCGCGGCGCCTCGGTCGAGCCTCCGACCCGCCTTTCTGCGGTGGACGCGACCCTGCCGGCGTCTTCTCCGCCTCGTTCACCCGGACACAACCACCGCGATCTGGGACCGCCGCCGCTGGGAGGAACACACCCAACCGGCCAAAATGACCGCCGGCGAGGAGGACGCCGGAAGTCCCGCCCCACGCTCGGGGCCACGCCAGGGGACGCCTCCATCCCAAGCTCTCATTGGCCCAGCCTGCTGCCACTCGGCGCAAGGAACGCTGGGTAATGCAGTTCCCAGGGACGGATGCTGGCGCTGCGTCTGCCTCAGGGAAATTTAGACCCGCCCCGCGCTGGGAAACGGGGTCCCTGGGTGCGAGGGGTTGGAGCAGCAGTTCTCAACCTGTGGGTCGCGACCCCTTTGGCGGCCGAACGACCCTTTCACAGGGGTCGCCTAAGACCATCCTGCATATCAGATATTTACATGACGATTCATAGCAGTAGCAACATGACAGTGATGAAGTAGCAACGAAAATAATGTAATGGTTGGGTCACAACATGAGGAACTGTATTTAAAGGGCCAGAAGGTTGAGAACCACTGGCTTTGGAGCGACCTGGGTTCCTCCATAAAGCACCGGGACCCAGGCTTCTGGGGGGAGTCGGGTGCTGCCTGCCCCTTCTCACCCGAGTGTTTGGGGACATTAGCTCCAACTTCTGTGAAGTTTGCCTTGTTCTCAGGAGATAAACGTACTATTTCAGATGCACACCCCGCCCCCCTCAGGGCTACGGATGCAAATGAGCAGACCCTTCCAGAGTTTTCACCGGAATTATTTCCGTTCCCGACTTTGAATCACTAAAAAGACATTGGTAATAGGTCTTTGCAATTTGCACTTTTTATTTTTTAAATGTATGTGAGTGATTTTTTACAGAAAGGAAGAGAGAGGGATAAGGAGTTAGAAACATCCATCAGCTGCCTCCTGCACACTCCCTACTGGGGATGTGCCCGCAACCAAGGTACATGCCCTTGTCGGGAATCGAACCGGGGAACCTTCAGTCCGCAGGCCGATGCGCTATCCACTGAGCCAAACCGGTTAGGGCGCAATTTGCATTTCACATGCTGGGAGTGCCTTCCATGGATTTTAACTCCTCACTGGGAAGTAATTACCACTTTTCTTGTCATTGCAGGGACTGACTTCCATGGGGAGTTGAACCTATCTCAGAAAAGAAAGGTTTAAAATGCAAAATTGCCCTGACCTGTGCGGCTCAGTTAGTTGGAACAAGGTCCATTGCACCCAGAGGTGGCAAATTTCACTCCCTCCCAGGGCAGCTTTTTAAAAATATATATATATATTTTTATTGATTTCAGAGAATGGGGATAGAAACATCAATGATGAGAATCAGGGATCGGCTGCCTCCTGCACTGCCCATGCAGGGGATTGAGCCCACAACCTGGACATAAGCCCCGACAGGGAGTCTAACCGTGACCTCCCGGTTCATAGGTCGATGCTCAACCGCTGAGCCAGGCTGGTCGGCCTATTGATGTTTCTCTTTCACAATGAAGTTTCTTTTTTCCCCCTTCCTCTCTAAAAAATCAATAAAAACAAAATGCAAAATTACAGAAAGCTATTAACAAGGGACTATACGTATAGTGATTAGGCAATAGAGTTCTGGTAAAGCATTGGTGGATGGTGAAAACAAAGACCTCAGAGAAGTTTTATTTTATTCTTTAAAATATATGTTTACTAAAAAAATAAATAAAATAAAATATATGTTTACTGATTCCAGAGAGGAAGAGAGAGAGAGAAACATCAGTGATGAGAGAGAATCACTGATCGCTGCCTCCTGCACGCCCCCCACTGGAGATCGAGCCCGCAACCTGGGCATGTGCCCCCAACCAGGATGGAACCCGGGACCCTTCAGACACTCTATCCACTGAGCCAAACCAGGCAGGGCCTCAGGGAAGTTTTAGCAGTGAAGTCTGAGAAAGCGAAATTAAGGTGAGTGCATGACTGGAATGGTCACCCAAGGTTTTGTGATTCTTCATACTTTAAAAAATTATTTTTTTGCCGAACCGGTTTGGCTCGGTGGATGGAGCATCGGCCTGCGGACTCAGGGGTCCCGGGTTCGATTCTGGTCAAGGGCATGTACCTTGGTTGCGGGCACATCCCCACTGGGGGCGGGGGGGGGGGGGTCGTGCAGGAGGCAGCTGATTAATCTCTCTCATCGACGTTCCTGGCTCTCTATCCCTCTCCCTTCTTCTTTCTAAAAAATCAATAAAATATATTTTAAAAAATTATTTTTTTATTGATTTCAGAGAGAAAGGGAAAGGGAGACATAGGAACATCAATGATGAGAATCATTGATTGGCGGCCTCCTGCATGCTCCCTACTGGGGATCCAGCCCACAACACAGCATGTGTCTCTGACTGGAATCGAACCCGGGACCCTTCAGTCCTCAGGCCAACACTCTATCCACTAACCAAACTGGCTCGGGCTGTGAGCGGTAAGAAATAGTCAAACCTGTAGATAATCTTGATGCATTTACTTGACCCAAAATGATAATTGCTGGGAAGCACATCTCAACCGATTAAGAAAATGCTCCAGACGATGGCAGTGTTGCATCTTATTTTATTTTTTAAATATGTTATTGGTTTTAGAGAGAGGGAGGATAGAGAGATGGAAACACTGGTGAGAGGAACTACCCACCATAAACTGCTTTTAGTTAAAGTTGTAATTTCAGGCCATCCTATGCGGGTACTTTAGGTCTCTGAGTTTGTAAGGCTGCCACCCGGGCCTCCCCTGAGCCTGGGTTAGTATGTGGCCCGTTTTTGTCCACAGTCCCTCCTATCGCCACACGTCGTGGGCCTACAGAAGCCTGCCCTTAACAAATGCATGCTCGCCCCGGCCAGTGTGGCTCAGCTGGTTGGAGCATCATCCTGTACACCAGAGGGTGGCAGGTTCAATTCCCGGGAGGGCACAGACCCACATTATAGGTTTGATAGTCGGGGTGCATGTGGGAAGCAACCGATTAATGTTTCTCTCTCACCTCAATGTTTGTCTCTCTCTCCCTTCCTGTCTATAAATATCAATAAAAGTTTTTCAAAAGAATGCATGCTCTGTGATTGGCTAGCTACAGGGGGCAAGAGCCAGACCAAGCCGGCTGACCGCTCTTTGTTGCCGGCAAGATCCCCCCTTAATGGCCCCGGGAAACTCCATTTAGATGCCTGACATCATCCCAGGCTGGTTCCTCAGGGGCCCCCAGAGCCCCAGGACCAACACTCAGTACCAGGTAATGTTGGTATTAAGACTGGAGCACAGCCCTAACTGGTTTAGCTCAGTGGGTAGAGCGTCGGCCTGCAGGCTGAAAGGTCCCAGGTTCGATTCTGGTCAAGGGCATGTAAATTGGTTGTGGGCACATCCCCAGTAGGGGGTGTGAAGGAGGCAGCTGATCAATGTTTCTAAGTCTCTATCCCTCTCCCTGTAAAAAATCAATAATAATAATAAAAAAAGACTGAAGCATAATGAAGCATTCCTAAGTCTTGGGACCCAGATCAGTCCTGTCCTTGGGGTTGGTGTCGGGTTTGGTGCCCTATCTTTTTTTTTTTTTTTTTTTTTAATATACTTTATTGGTTTTTTACAGAGAGGAAGGGAGAGGGATAGAGAGTAAGAAACATGGATGAGAGAGAAACATCCATCAGCTGCCTCCCGCACACCCCCCACTGGGGATGTGCCTGCAACCAAGGTACATGCCCTTGACCGGAATCAAACCCGGGACCCTTCAGTCCGCAGGCCGATGCTCTATCCACTGAGCCACACCAGTTAGGGCGGTCTCCTAGCTCTTGAAGAAGTCCGGGAGGCAGCAACAAGAGCCCCACCATTCTGTGTCCTGCCCTCCTTACTGGTCGCTGGCATCGTCCTGACACTCAGGGGCAGTGCAGTTCCAGTGCCTGAATTTAAATCATCTCCTGATCAGGAAGGCTCACTCAAAAGACACAGCTACAGAACTTCCAGGCGGCCTCCAGGGTCCTGGGCTCGGAGCTCTCTACCTCCGCCCTGGGCTCTCTGGCTCCCCGTCCCTAAGCAGGTTTGGAAAGTGCCTGGGCCTGATGGGAAGGTGCCACCTCACCTGCTATACCATCCTCCCTTCAAGGCTACAGCCCTGTGCTGTCCACTGTCCAAAGCCTGAAATTCGTGGTTGAGCTGGTGTGGCTCAGCTGGTTGGAGTGCAATCCTGTACACCAAAGGTGGTGGGTTCGATTCCCCATGAGGGCACATACCCAGGTGGTTTGCTCTGGTTGGGGCCTGTGCGGAAGGCAACCAATTTATGTTTCTCTCTCACATCGATGTTTTTCCAGCTCTCTCCCCCTCCTGCTCTAAAATTTAAAAAAATTGGCAGTCAAGATGCATAAAATAATTTATTGGCTACAATAGATTCCTGATGTCATCAGTGCTTTATTCTCTAACATTATCTAGAAATTTTTAATGTCCACAAAAGGGAGAGAAAGACACTCATCAGAGACTAAGGATTGTAAAAGGGTTGGTTAGAACAAGCCATCTCTTAAGTTCTAGATGACACACTTGAAACATATATTTTTATTTTATTTTATTTTATTTTTAATATATTTTATTGATTTTTCACAGAGAGGAAGGGAGAGGGATAGAGAGTCAGAAACATCGATGAGAGAGAAACATCGACCAGCCGCCTCCTGCACACCCTCCACTGGGGACATGCCCACAACCAAGGTACATGCCCTTGACCGGAATCGAACCCGGGACCTTTCAGTCCGCAGGCCGACGCTCTATCCACTGAGCCAAACCGGTTACGGCGAAACATATATTTTTATTGATTTAAGAGAGAAAAGGAAAGAGAAAGAGATAGAAACATCAATGATGAGAGAGAATCATGGATCAGCTGCCTCCTGCACGGCCCCTACTGGGGATCAAGCCCGCAACCCACGCATGTGCCCGTGGCTGGAATCGAACCTGGGACCCTTCAGTCCGCAGGCTGACGTTCTACCCACTGAGCCAAACCCGCTAAGGCAAGATATGCTTTCTTACATGGTAACATTTATGGATTGAGACTCTACATTCCTGCTTACCTTGCTATTTTCTTAAATATATTTTTATTGATTTCAGAGGGAGACAGAGATAGAAACATCAATGAGGAGAAA